ATTAAAATTTGAAGGAAGGGAGGAAGAAAGAGAAAAGGGAGCATGGAATGTGCCTGTCCAGGAAAATTAGCCTGAACATAATTGCATATATGAAATAATGCTCTGGGATCTGAAGTTAAGGCTGAGTTTTCATTCAACAGATTGGTCAGTAAACATTGTGGATGGTTTTTTGACCATGAGAACAACCTAATTCTGGAAACATGTAACTGATTTCAGCATTAGAAAACTATGCGTTATACACATGATTTACTTTGTGCTATTGCCACATAGTTACTTTTGTTCCCGTGTGATATTTTCATACTTGTGTATTACACTGAGTTTTGTACCACAAGGATTGCATTTTTATTCTTTACTAATAATCAGACATAAAACTGTATGAGTATTGTGTGTTAAACAGTTAGCTTCAAGCAGAATAATAGCTGTAATACCTAAGGAATTAAGACTGGGAAATAGTGATTTGTTGGAGGTTTTGGTAAAGTATAAAGAAGATTTCTGTGGTTAAAGGTAATACCTGGATCCTAAAGGGTTGTAGAGAATGTGCAGGGCAGAAATTATACTTAGATCTGCAACAATTGACAGAACAAAGCTGCACAAACACAGTGATGGAGGAGGCTTAGCAACTATGTACATGAAAAAAAGCTGAAGGGTATTAGATAGCATAAGGCAATGGTATGAAATAAATTCTAAAACTATTTTGAACTTGAGCTGTTTTAATATAATAACTAGAAGAAGAAAAGGCCAGAATTGGCTGTAGTCCATGCTAATAATTCTAGAATTTAGATCAAGGGGCAAAGACAAACTGGAACACATTCAGAAAAGAGCATCTAGCATGATAGGTTTTCTTTTTTACTGGAGAATATAGCAGAAGAAATAAGAATATTATTTGGAGAAAAGAAGTCTTGAAGAAGCATGATAGCTACAATAGCTATGATGTTTGTTTGCCATTTTAAGAGAAAAAGCATTTCTAACTGGCTTTAACAACAAACATAACTTGTGGGTTCATGTAATTCAAAAGTTTTAAGACAAGTTGGATTTTACTTGAGGCTCAATTTAGTGGCCATTTTGGCCAAATTGGTTACTCTCTCCTTTCTTTGGGTCAAAATATCTGCTGGCAAAACTCAAGGTAATGTGCTTCTTTAATGTCAAGTGAGAATCTGAAAAACCTTTTTCCTCCTATACAGTTCATTGAAAGAAAGAATAATTTTCCCAAATCCCTAGGAAATATCTCTTATATCTCACTTGCTAGAATTGTGACACATGCCAATCTCTGAACAAATTATATAGGCATGGAGATGGTGTGTAAATTAGCATGGCTAATCTCAAATTTACATCTTCTTTTTTTAAGTTTATTTATTTATTTTTGAGAGAGAAAGAGAGAACACGCCAGGGAGGGGAAGAGAGAGAGGGATACAGAGAATCCCTAGCAGGCTCCATACTGTCAGCGCTGAGCATGACAAAGGGCTCAAACTCAGGAGCTGTGAGATCATGACTTGAGCCAAAACCTAGAGTCCCACGCTTAACCAGCTGAGCCAACCAGGCACTCCCACAAATCTACATCTTGAGCTGATTTATTATGTCTGTCAGGATTCTCAGGAGAAACAAAATCAGTAGAAGATACAAACACACACACACACACACTCTTACATATATTATATGATATATTGATATAATTTATAGATTATATATAAAAATATTTATATATAAATGTTGTATGTATGTATATTTATTTTGAGAGAGAGAGAGTGCATGCGTGCAAGTGGGGGAAGGGCACAGGAAGAGGGTGAGAATCCCAGGCAGGCTCCAGCCTCTGTGCAGAGCCTGCCTCAGGGCTCAGTCTCAAAGCTGAGAGATCCGCACCTGAGATGATATCAAGAGTTGGTCACTGGAGCACCTAAGCCACCCAGGTGCCCCAAAAGTGAACTGATTGTTAATCACATGTATGTATAAACTACCATCACAGCAACACCTTGATTAGTGTCTGATTAAATAACTGAGTGCTGTAGCCTAGCCAAGTTGACACATAAACCATCATAGATATAGTGAGTCTCTCCCAAAATACATGGCTGAAATTTTGAGGTCATGTTGGAACAGAGATTGGCAACTAAGAGGTAGCCAACAAATATCCCTTACAATGACTAACAGTAGAAATGTAAAAAGGCTTCCATGGTTGTGAGTTTTCAGTTGTTTTATATAGACTGATAGATACCTAGAGGGAAAATTGTAGAAATAGTGAGGAAACAGCTATCAACTAAAAAATAACTGGCTAAAAAAACAGTAGTGAGTTCTTACTATTGGGAATGTTCAAACATGGACTAGAGGACTGTGGTGTAAGGCCTTAAAATTAAATCCCAATATTATGTGTTTCTGACATCTGAGGAAACCTGAGAGATCCTGCAATGGACCCACCACAAATTCTCCTCCCCACTGTGCTCCCACAGATAAAGTCCCTGAACCAAATGACCCTTATAAACAACATATGAAAATTATTCTTTCTTTCAAATTATTCATTCTTGAGAAGCAGGTTTCAGTTCCCTGCCCATGGAATTACTCAGACAAGGCAATCACATTCATGGGAACCAAGGGCCACTGCTCTTTCATTAGTATAAAACCTGTATCCTACGGCCTCTGCCTACCCATTCTATTCCTGAGTGCAACTCCTACTTAGCCATGCCTGGCACATGCTGCCCTCCTCCTCCTCCTCTGGGCTGTAAGTATGTGTGATTAATAAACTATCAATCTTATCTGTCCAGTGGTCAGGTGCCATGTTTCAACCAATTAACATAATCCTAGAATGGGAATCTTTCCCTCACCAATGGAGTGAATGAGAGGTGGTTAAAACAATGACTGCCCCGCCCCCACCCCCGACTTTATTCAGCTGTGATAGTGGAGAGAGAAGAGATTCAAACATCAATTATATAATTGGCATAAGTGATTTGTAAGTTGCTTTTCAATCCCAAGATTCTACTTTTTGTGTTCCCAGTAGTATTAGCATTCATATTATATTTTCCAAAGACAGACATAACAATTCATCTTTCTACTATTAGCACCCATCAAGTTGTTTCACAGCTTATTCATTTGTACATTTCTTACTCAGTTCAAAGCTCAGAAATCCATGCTTTATTAATTTTTAGATACCTTCAGCTAACATAATGCTGGATATATAGCAGATATTCAATGAATTTTTGGTGAGTGAATCTGAAAATCACTTGCTCCATTAGAATTTGGGAAAAAATTACCAATGAGCAGTGAAGTTCTCCTTAAACATAACACATAAGTAAACATCGTAAATATAAATTCCCCAACACTGTTGAAATCCAAATTCACCCTAGCCACCTGTAGATGGAGGGAATGAGGTCTTTGGAGAATTGCCATTTTTTTTTTTCCTCTCCTCATTCCCCATCCCAAATGCATACCAGTTGCCCTAAGGCTTCTGAAGAACCCCTCAGGCAGCATCTCACTTTGTGTAGGAAGGAGAATTAGTATTGCTGCAAGGTGATCCCAACTTCTTGCCTGTCTATTGATTTCTAATGTTCCAGTCACTTCAAAATCCCTGCTGAAAGCTAAAACATTGCTTTTGCAAGAAGACATTTATTTTAAGCATAGTTTCATGCTTCTAGTATGCAGACACATAGCACCCCTATCCTAAATTATGGGAAAAATATGGAGAAAGCTAAAATGCTTGGCTTGAAGATGTTTGACATCTTTTTCTCTGTGATTTCTGCTTTATTATTTGTTGTAATTAAATTGTCTTACTCATAAAATTTATTTTTTCCAGTTTTATTTAGATAGTAATTAGCATATAGCACTATATAATTTTAAGGTATACAGTGTAATGATTTGACTGACATGTAATTGTCAAATTATTACCACAGTAAGTTTAGTTAACATCCATCATCTCATATAAATATAAAAAAAAGAAAAAAAATCTTTTTCCTTGTGATGAGAACTTTTAAGATTTACTTTCTTAACAACTTCATATATATCATACAGCAATATTAACTGTAGTCATTATGTTGTATATTATCCCTAGTACTTATTCAGTTTATTTATCTGGACATTTCTGCCTTTTAACCACCTTCATCCAATTCTCTTCTCCCCATCTCCTACCTCCGGTAGTCACAAATCTGATCTTTTTTTTTTTTTAATAAATTTGTCTTTTTTCTCTTTCTCATTTTTTAAGATTTCACATGTGAGATCATATCATATTTGTCTGTCTCTGTCTGATTTATTTCACTTAATATAATGCCCTTGAGATCCATATATGCTGTCACAAACAACAGGACTTCCTTCCTCTTTTATGGCTGAATAATATTCGTGTGTGTGTGTGTGTGTGTGTGTGTGTATACAGCTTTTTTATTCATTGGTTGGTGGACACTTAAGTTGTTTCCATGTTGTGGCTATTATAAATAATGCTGCTATGAAAATGGGGGTGCACATATCTCTTCAACAGAATGTTTTCATTTCCCTTTGATATATTTACAGAAGTGGAATTCCTGGATCCTATGGTAGTTCTATTTTTAAGTTTTTGAGGAACTTCTGCACTGTTTTCCATAGTATCTGCACTAATTTACATTCCCACCAACAGTGCACAGTTCCCTTTTCTCCACATCCTCATCAGCATTTGTTATCCCTAAATTTATTCTTTTTATAAATGATATATGCTTTTTCTCTAACCCATAGATTTAAGATTTATTTTAAAAAAGAAGGAATGACTTGTTCTGACAAAGGAATTTTGCAAATTCAGTGACCTTTATAGAGGTATACAATAAATTACATTTATTAGCAAAAATAAAATTACATTTAAATCGCCTCTGGTGTTGAAACCAAAGATGTAAAGTTTCCATTTCCAAATGTCTTTATACAGTACTAAGCATGTGGTTGGTATAAATATATATTAGTTAAATAAGCTAATAATAGGATACACTTCCTTTTATTGATCATAGACCTTAAGAATTTAATATAACAGAAGTCTTTTCTCCATCTCCTGGGTTTATTCACAGTAAACAGATCCGAGCTATGCTAGGCCAATTCAGCCAGGCAGAAGACTTATTAATGAAAGCTGGAGTGCAGCCAGGGACTTTGGATGGAGTTCTTTTGGATCTTGGGTGTTCTTCCATGCAACTTGATGCTCCTGAAAGAGGTTTTTCCCTTCGGAAGGATGGCCCCTTGGACATGAGAATGGATGGTGGCAGGTGAGTATCGATAAAGCATTTCTCCTCACAACAAGAAATCAATTTTGCAAAAACACTCTGAATTTAATTTCCTTTTAAGACTGCAGAATTCCCATCACACGCCCACACCTAACACTATCCATACATAATAAATCAGTTTTGTTTGCTACTCATTATAGACGTTAGTGTTTCTCTAGATTTGAGATTCTAAAAGAAAAATCACTGCTGTCTTTACACAAAATAGTGAGGAGGATAACTTTCATACTGATTATCTTTTATATAGATACTATATGGGCTTTAGACTACTTACAATATTGATTAATGTAAATCTGAAACAATGGATCTATTTTTGTGCATGCCCAACCATGCCTTTTATGAGATGTATAAGAAACTATATTTAATGCATATTCTTTTGAATATTGCATGCAATGCAAGATTCTAGGGGTCAGTGATTGTTTTGTCCTGTTTCTTTTACTGTCACTTTGATTTAACATTCTCCAGAGAAATCACAGTTTATGGTACTATATCAACATAGTACTATATATAGGGCAGCTTTACACCTTCTCTTCATTCCTCACCAACATGGAAATACTAGTTTGTTCTCCATTATTCCATTATTCAAATAAGTAAATATAACACAAAGAGGCTCACATGCTAGTAAAATATAGGATAAGTTCTTTTAAATCCAAATTAATCTTTAAAGTTTAGATTAGCACTTGTCTCTATGCCTAACACAGGCTCAGGGACTAAACAGCCTGTACCTACAAAGCTTAACCATGTTTTTCTCCCTCATTTCATGTCCCACCACTACTGCCAAATTATGTATCATGGCCCCTACTTTTGGATACCTTATCTTCTAAGAGAAATGTTAGATTTTATTATATCTAAATAAGCAAACAGTTTTGTTACTATTACTAATCTGCAATTCTAGACCTGCATAAACATTTCTGCGGAAACAAATAGGTTATCCAAATTTTCTTACAATCTCTTTGCAGGAACTATATGTAAGTAATTGAATGTCTAATTTAAGTCAGCAAATTCATATTCAGTTGACTTTGACTTCTTTTCCACAAACGTCTTTGTCCAATGCTAATTATTCGCAGGTAGCCTTTTCTCCATGTTCTGATATGACCTGGTAACTTGGATTGTGACCCATACTTGTTGGAACCTTTTGTTCTAAGTCTTATACCTTCTTTTGCCCAAGTTGGCATTCATAGAATGAAGAATGTGATCATAAAAGAAAATAATGAAAATCCTTTAAAAAGCAGTGACTAATAGTAAAGGTCAAATATCTTTTCATGTTTGGAGATTGAGGTTGTTGTGCAGAGGTAATAAAATGTCAAGCAAATTTCTGCTGTTCCTATGTCTTGTTAAGGAGGATGCCTTCTGAAATACGATGAACAAAGCTTCTAGTTAATGGTAGTAAATCCCCATATTGTTAATGTAAAGACTTCTCAGCAAATTGTAGTCTGTGAATCAGGGTTCTTGAGGTTTTCCCCTAAGAACCTGAAAATAAATTTCCCTTAAGCATTAAATTGTAAGTCAATGCATAATGGATGAGATTAGAGTTGAGGAAATATATCTTAAAAAGCAGGATGGCTTCTAGGTAGATAGCACAGACTACACACCTAATCAAAGATTAACAGACCTGAAGAAAGTACATGGTGTTCAGAAAAAGGGAGTTTGTTCACATGAATTCATAGAAAAGGAGAATCATTGCAAATATGTGCAATGCTTATCCAAGTGATGTCATGGGGAGACAGCCCAAGCCAAAAAGTATGGCCAGTCAGATCCTGGAGGTTGATAAATCTCTGTGATGAAGGTGGATGCAAGAGGCTTTCTTAACCTGTTTCACTGAACACGAGAACCTTATAGCATAGTTTAGTTAGTTCATAGCTTCAAGTACTTGCAGGTCTAACTGTTGTTAGTTGTATTCACTGGAAGTTAATAAATAAATTTCCACTTATGTTAATATTTTCTTTGTGTTGTTAGTATAGTCATTTTAAATCTCTGAAGAACCATCAAGATCTCTTACCTGATAAGTTGGGGGCGGGCCAGATTTCATATCTTGACTTCTTCATTATGAATGTCTCCTCTGAAGCCTGCTAGCAGCCTGTCAGCTTTTCAGTGTTGCCCCTTTTGTCTTGTAGCACAATGGAAACTTCTACATTGCTATTCAGTGTTAAAATGAGAGTAAAATAAAATTATGCCCATTATCCACTGAACTATATTTAAGCAAAATGCTGTTTTAATTGTCTTCCTTAAAAGTAGAACGGTATTATAAAGAACTGCTAAGTCCATCCATACTAATCTGAGAGTTGTTGTGGTGGAGCTGGACTGTGTCCTATGGTTCTGAATTTACCATTAATAAGGTTCATCTTGATGCTCAGTGGTTTTGAGCAGTTGAATGCACAACTAGGTAAGATCTAGCAGGGATTTTATCAATTAGGCCAAAATGATAATGGGGAAATCTCAGAATCAGCAAAATCTAAGGGTCATGCACATTCATTGACCTCTGTGTGCCAGACATTCTACTATCTGTTTTACAACTGCATGAACCCTTAATTCTCCCAGCAATCCTATGAGGAAAGCATGGTTACTTTCATTTTACAGGTTAGAAATTGAGGCTTCAGTAAGTTAAAAGGCTTACTCACTATGAATATCAAGTCCAGTACTCTAACCTACATTGATTTGACTCCTCCTCCTCATTATCATTGTTATTATTATTATTATTATCGTTTTATTATTAAAGGGAGAAATCCTATTGAGATGGAAACAGGACTACTGTACAGGATGTTCATTGGTCTGGGGGTGCCATGGCAGCTAAAAAGAAATGTGTCAGATCTGGAAAGCAAGGTTTCTCTCTCTCTCTCTCTCTCTCTCTCTCTCTCTAACACACACACACACACACACACACACACACACACACACACTGAGAGAGAGAGAGAGAGAGAGAGAGATCATGGCAAAATATGGGACAAGCCAAAGGCAATAGTTTTCTTCTGGAGGCACTAGATATGTTAACAAGGTTCTGTATATTATTTTTAAGAAAGAATTCAGGTTTCTTCACAGCCCTACTCTTAGGTCTTAAAACTCTACCATATCCTTATTACTTAGAGCCCCACAGTGTGATACCAGCAATCAACCAACATATTAATTACAGGAGTAGTAACTATACTATTAACAAAGCTATCTTACTAAGTAAATTCTCATTTAGTTCATCACTTAGAATTTCTTGGCACATTTCCCTAAAGGAAGGCAAACTGGAATGCTTGGACAGAGTAAAGGCTATTTCCTACTATGTGATCTATTCTGTTTGGCTAGAGGATTTCCTTTGTCTCTACCACCTAAAATTATTGTCTTAGACTTGTTTAGTACTATTTCTTGATTACTAAACTTTACCCCATGGTGACTTTATTCATGAGTTTATAAGCCAATATCACTAAACATTTGAAAAAATGTTCAAACGGAAACTGACTGGGAGTATCTTTTTGTATAGATCTTCTAACTTTAATATGTGCCCCCATATAAGTGCTCAGTTACTTTAATTTTTTTATAGTTTTTATTTATTTTTGAAACAGAGAGTATGAGCAGGGGAGGGGCAGAGAGAGAGGGAGACACAGAATCTGAAACAGGCTCCAGGTTCTGAGCTGCCTGCACAGAACCTGATGCAGGACTCGAACCCACAAACCGCGAGATCATGACCTGAGCTGAAGTCAGACGCTTAACTGACTAAGCCACCCGGGCACCCTTCAGTTACTTTACAATCTCAGACTTAGTTAAGTTCCTGGGATACAGGCTCAATTAAATATCAATCAGTATCTTGTATCTTCTTATAGTGAAAAAAATCAAATGATGGTTTAAATTTTCAACAAACTAAATCCAAACATTTTCCATTATTTTGGTTTAGGGGAAATCTGCATAAGTAATAATAACTTCTTTGTGAATTAAATGTTAGTAAAATATTTTAATTTCCTGCTGCCCTTGACCTTGATAAATGTCACACACAATCCCCTCTTGCCTTTATGATGGGTATTTGAAATAGAAAATCTATTTCATTTGTATAAGATTTCAGTCTCTGACTTGAGAAACCTCAGACACTCTCTTAGACTGTGTGTGTATGCCTGACTTCAGTACTCTGAAGTCTCACCTCTTGTCAATGAAAACTGACGTCAGCAAACTAATTGGCTCTTCTTGTGCGTAGGTACCCTGACATGCCCACTGCCGCTGATGTTGTGAACGCTTTAGATCAACAGGCACTTGCATCCATCCTGAGAACATACGGGGAGGAAAAGCATGCCAAGAAAATTGCTTCAGCAATCGTTCAGGCACGTAGCCTCTACCCCATCTCCAGAACCCAGCAGCTTGCCAGCATCGTTGCAGGTACCCTCATTAATTCTGAACAGTGTCTCAGAGAACACACACACACACACACACACACACACACACACTATATATATATATATATATATATACACACACACACATTTATCCCCCAAACTCCCAGAAGTATTCATTTGTACTTAAAATCATCCAGGATAGAATCTTGCCTCTCCTTCTCTCTATATCAGCTTTCTTTTGGTTTTGCAAGCTTCCCTCCCCAGCACCTCGCCCCACACAATTTAAGAAAATATACTGTAGTTGCTGATTAGTTGAACAATAGATTATTTTTTCATGAGAGGTAATTTATCATTTGTGCCTACCAAGGTGAAATATAGGATGGCAAGAGCAGAATTTCTTGATCCATCACAGTGGTTGATAAGCATTTGGTATAAGATCTGACATTGCCTCTCTTAGTTTCACATTTCTGCACTTTAATATTTTGGGCAAAAGGAGAATTGCATTGCCCAACTGCTAAAATAAAATCTAGTGACTCATACATCTATTCTAAACAACCAGCTAACAAAGGGTATGTGATGTATAGGTTATTCCACTTTGTGAATGCTAACTAAATCAGCCTGAGGGGCTTATTGAAACATTTCATCTTTTCTGCTGTTTGCCACCATAAACCTCTTGAACTTAAGTCTAGCTAGGAGGCACTTTATTATAGCCTTTCTGTTTGAAGCCAAAGTTGTTTCACAGCTGTGTTCCATGATGAAAGTTTTCCAAGGCAAAAATACAACTCCTGCAGTTATTTAACAGTATTTGTGTTACATTTTTTGTCTTGTGGGCCATCTAAAACCCTACATCACTTTTATTTACCAAATGTATTAGGATTTCTTTCCAATGACTCCTATTAAGTTACCTAAGTAGCTAAAATAGAGAAAATGAATAATTGTGTAGCTTATAAAAAGAACCTGATATTGGTTGCCTCTAATCTAAATATTATCTCTAGTTCAAGGAATAAAGCTTGATTATAAATTTATTCAGATCAGGATTTAGAGATCATATAGCAATTGTTTTATGACATAGCTTACTAAGACTATATTTTACTTAGTTAGGATAATAAAATATAAAGAGTTGACCAAGTCTTTAAATGTTTTAAGCTTTATACATACATCAAGGCCCTTTCAACTTACCATTGAGATTCCTTTAGGCAAGTAAGAGCAAAATTCTTGTGGATTAGATGATCATAAAATATGCCATGGTATTTTTTTTTCCCAAAAAGAGTTTGGACAAGTAGGCTGCATTAATTCACCCTCTGTCTTGTGTCCCTTTCTTTCCACCCTATACTTACTAAACATTACCACCTTATCCTACCTTTTTGTCATTATTTAACAAGCTGTATGTGTTGTTCTCTGTCTCCCATATGGAAATGACAACAGTGAAAAGTCACATTTTTTATTCATAAGAAAATCCAGAATTTTCTGGTGCTGAAAATGAAGACTAGGGCTGATGGCATCCTAGAGATCATCCAGTCAAAAACCTCACCTGATAAATGAAGAAACTGAGGCTCCAGGAGGGTCAATAGTATCCTTGAAGGTATACAGTCTAATTAATGGCAGAGTCAGTACTGATCTAGAATTTCAGGCATAACTGGGTATTTGCCTTTAAGATCTTAAGTTAATTTTATTTTTGTCTCAGGGTCCTAATCTTCACACTTGGGGTACTAACACTGTGGCATTACATAGAAATTATATCAAGAAGTAGAATAGAAACAATTTAAGTATTTTCAGAAAGATTATGGTGTGAAAAACATATTAGGGCTATGATAAATGATATTGTAAAACCAAGAATATACATATATATGTAGGCTTTAATAAATGCCATTAAAAGATTGAGTTCCCCATAATGAGTCCATTGTTATAGCTCAAACCAGCCCATAATAATATAATACAACTTTATTGATGATGATATAATTCTGTGGAAAAGGGAAAAACAAAAGAAAAAAACAGGTTTGCATTTTGTGCTCATTCACTCAAAAACTATTTTGGAAGAGGCTGCTATACACCAAGCATTATATGAGTACTAATGATAGAATGGGAAACTGATCAGAGCCTCTGTTTACAAAGCTTACTGACTGGTAAGTGACTAGATTAAAAAACGGTATTACTAAACATGGTTGCTCTACTTATAGTGGAAACCTTCTTATTTATTATGGTCTGAAGTATGATTGTATGGGTAATATAAGAAGTTAGTACATGTGGAGAATTTACAGAACCTATCCATATTTATATATATGGAGATGCTTGGGTCCCAAATGTGGTTCCATAAAATCCATTCCTACATAAATCATACTCATCACCTACCTTCTACAAGCCCTGATTTTATTTTTATTAAAATGAACTTACAGTTCAGAGGCACTTACAAAGCAATCTGAGTGTGTTTTCTAGATTTTCATAATTTTCTACATTTTCATAATTTTTTAAGTCTTTCCATAATCACTTCACCTACATCTAATTTGATTGCATTTTTTTACATGACTCATCTTTATTAAGAGTCTCCAAAGTATCCAAATTAGTTCTCATGGGAACAGCAGATGTCTTTCCTTTTGCATTCATATTTCACCAGTTTATGTAATATTTGATTGAATTATTTAATGGCAATAGTATGTGCTCTGGGCTTACAGCTCTTTTGGTAGAAGCAGGACTATATAGGAATATTTGAGAGTAAAATACCATGCTGAACAGTTTAACAGAGAAAGGGATTAATCTGTCAAGTGCATTAAACAGAAGTCTCTTAAGAGAGCTACTTCCTGAAGGAAATATGGGAAGGAATGGAGGGTCCAGGAAGGTGTCTGTATTAGTTTCATTTCCTATTCCTGCATTAACAAAGAACCACATATTTGGTAGCTTAAGATAAGGGAAATTTATTCTTTCACAGTTCTGGAGGCCAGAGTCCAACATCAAGGTATCAGTGGGCCTCTGGGGGAGAATACCTACCTCCTTGACTCTACCTTCTGTCTGGCACTTGCCAGTAATTCTTGGTGTTCCTTTGCTTGTATATGCATCACTGAGTCTCTGCCTCCACCATCACGCCGCTGAGTCTCTGCCTCCACTGTCCCTATTCCCATACATGTTTGTTCAAATTTTCCTGTTAGTATAAAGATACCAGTCATATTGGATTTAGGCTCCACCCTAATAGAGTATGTCCTCAACTTGATTATATCTGCAAGGATCCTATTTCAAAAAAAAGTCACATTCACAGGTTCCTGATAAACACAAACTTTGGGGGACACTATTCAAGCTGGTTCAGTTCCTAAGCAATATCTTTATTTAACAAACATGTATTTTGGCAGGCTATAATATGCTGTGACTATATTTGGACATCTTTTCTGGTTCTAATAAATTCATACTAAATATGTTCAAGATTATCCAGCACTCTGGGAAATATGCCACAGTTCCTGACACATGGTAAAACACATATATTGATGGAAATATAAATCACTCCCTTTTCTTTCAAAAATCTAATAATCCATTAGGACAAGGAAGACCACCACACTTGTAGTCACAATATACTTAGTGGGATTATAGAATAATTCAAGTGATTAAGTTGTAATTTGTAAAACCTAAAGCCTGATGTCTTTCACTAGTAAAAATAAGTACAGTTCTAGTACTCTTCCATATCCTGTGAGCACCAGAAGACAGGTTCAAGGCTGCAAATTGAAGCATGACACTTATAACTACCATGAATTACTTTGTAAATTACAAAATTAGTAATTTATAATTCCAAAAACGACCTATGGGACTTCACTATTCAAACAAACTATTCAGAACAGCTAGCCAGAAATTTTAATGTTAATATCTCACACATGTTAGATAGTGTTCCCTTCAAAAATAATTTACAAATAAGTCATATTTTGTTAAGCAGTTATAGCTGAAAAATTAGATTTATGAAATTTAACACTTGAAAATGGCCCAAGGGACTAATTTAATGTAGAACCAAACTCTTCATCACCTCTAATAAATGGTCATCTTGCTTTAGCCTTTCATCTCCATCTATCTTACTCCCGCCTTGTATTTCAGTGAGGAGGAGCACATTTCAGTCTGAAATTGCTAGTTCCATAAATAGAGGCCTTGAGTCTTTAGAATGAATTCCTTAGAATAAAATCGAAATTCCTTTACATGATTTGCAAACCTTTTCATGGATTGGCTCCTACTTTTTCATTTTCATCTCTGTTTCTCTTCAAAATAATCTCTGTTCCAGCCATACTAGAGTCCTTGTGGTCTTGTCTTTCTGGCACACCATAGTCACCCTACACTTACAGGCCTTGGATATTATTAACATGAGCACTAGAGTGCCCAAACCCCATCCTATCCCGTAGCTAATGCCAGCTCATCCTTTTGAGCTTAGTCAAAGTGTCACTTCCTCCAGGAAGGTTTTTCTAGTTCTACACAAATCAGTTAGTTGAGGTGCTCTCCTAAGTGCTCCCATAGCACTGCATTTCACTGCCGTAGCACTGACACTGTTCTTATTGCTTTCTATCTATCTTCTCCCCTAGACCTAGTCTATCTATTACAATTGCCAGTAGCCATGCATGTCTCTGGAATTCTTGAAATGCAGCTGCTCTTAACTGAGAGGTCATATATGTAAAATACACACCTTAGTTTGAAAAAAGAATTTACTATATCTCAAAAATTTATATGTTCATTCTGTGTTGAAATGGTAATATTTTAGAAATTATTGGGTTACGTACAGTATTAAAATTAACTATACCTGTTTCTTTTTACCTTTTTAATGTGGCTGAAGAAACTTTTAAAACACATATGTGGATTGCATTATATTTTTATTGGATGGCGCTGCTCCAGATGCTAAGCACTGTGAGGGCACTGCTGTGTCTTTTATCCATCAGGGTGCCCCCAGTGCTTACCATAATTTTGGCCCCTGGAAGACATTTGGTAAATCCCTTTTCAAGGTTAATTTATAAAATAAACAAAATCACATAGATCCAGGAAGCTTCTGTTTTTATACAGTTAGTATTCAGTGAAATAATATCAATGTTA